TGAGGATTAAATTAATCAAATTTAATGAAAAATTTTTATTTTGATTCTGAGTTCATAGAATTAAAATAAAAAATTATCGAAGAAACAAATCGGATAAAATTTCCGTTTGAGGATTAAATTAATCAAATTTAATGAAAAATTTTTATTTTGATTCTGAGTTCATAGAATTAAAATAAAAAATTATTATTGAATTTGGATAGCAAAGTTTTGAAAAACTTTTGAATTTATTAATAGGATCTGTCTGCATAACATCAGTATACGTAATATCCATACCACCGAGATCCCCAAAATTCCGGGTCGTATGGGACGGAATTGATCAATTTTGCCCAGGATCACTAAGAATTTTACTAATGAAACCATAGTCGTTCATTAAGTAAAAAATGCCCAACCGATAATTTTACTATAGCTCCTACTAACCAGTATTACTAACCCTAACCTCGATGCATTCCGACCATTCCGAACTGGAAATTTATGGATTCTCCTGTAAAAATAATTATATCATTATCGTGGGGCATATTTGGTAACTGTTAAATGTAGTTTTAGATAACAATTTCAATTATCTATTTTTAAGAATTCTAAAGGCTAAAATAGCTTTATTAATTTTCTAAATATAAATATAAGTTAAATAAAAAACAACTTAATACATGTTAATTGTATTTATAAAATCTCTAAAAATTAAGCTCTTGATACTGTTGTTTGGCATTGTAGAGAACTGCACATAGTTGACTTTTGATAATAATAGCAAACACTTCTTCCACTATTGACAGGTTTTGCAATCAGGGTTCTCATAACAAGATCTGCAACAGGCTTCTACAGAATTCACACCCAAGTGCATTTTATGAACCAATTATCATAGTACCAAGATCACAACAAATATTTTTATCAAAAATGTAAGTAGTAGTAGAAGTAGGAATATAAGTAGAAGTAGGAGTATAAGTAGAAACAGAAGTAGGAGTAGAAGTGGAAGTAAAAGTAGGAGGATAGGTAGAAATAGGAGTATAAGTAGAAACAGAAGTAGGAGTAGAAGTGGAAGTAAAAGTAGGAGGATAAGTAGAAATAGGAGTATAAGTAGAAACAGAAGTAGAAGTAGAAGTGGAAGAAAAAGTAGGAGGATAAGTAGAAGTGGAAGTAGGAACACACAATAATGTAGTAAATGTGCAAGTTGTAATTGTCATTTGTTCACATTTATCGTAATCATCAGGTACTTGTTCGGTACCAGGATAATTATATGACATGGGTGTCATAGTTGTGCAGTCTACAATGGATGTTACGACTTTAGTACTGATGTAAGTGATAGTAACTGTTCTGGTAGGTTTGTGGTGATGTATAGGTCTGGCATCGATAGTTCCAAGAAAAAGAATAACAATAACCAGGAAAAAATTAAATGGTCTATTCATGTTAGACGATTTAAGAAAATTAAGAACTCATTTCTTTTTCAGAAAAATGAATTCATTTTATAATTGACGTTCCATAATAAATAAATAAATCGATACACAAGAAGTAAAACTCATACGCATGAACTTTCACAATTTGAATGGTCATACCCGTGCGCAAAATCTATCGAAAAAATTCCAGTATCACTGTTTTAGTAATCCCGTTTGTAAAATAATATAATAGACTATTAACTATTATTGATCCTATTATCGCTGTTCTCGATTAGCGACAGATGAATTTTGTAAATCCCACGGGTCGTGCATATTATCATTGAGAAATCAATGGTAATATGCATACAAGGACGATTATTTTCTGCGATTAATTTCTGCGAGAATTCGCAATAATAAGCATTTTTATTTTTATGCAGAAGAATTATCGCAGAAATTAATCACCCCAGGAAAATCATAGTCCCTGCCTGCATATTACCATTGACTTCTCAATGATAATATGTACGATCTGTGGGATTTACAAAATTCATTTGTCGCTATTAAAATATATATATATTACATATGAGTGCAGACAAGGACATTGGTTTACCATTGAATATTTAAATAAATAATCAATGATAAATTAATGTTCTATTTTCCCTTGGCTGCACTCATGTAAAAATAATAAGTATTATATGAGCATAACGGGCTTTTAAGATTGCTGATATTTGTAGATCTCATCATAATGAAGCCTTATTAAAGTAACAAGACATGCGTCGCGAGCTGTGCGAAATATGTTTTTCAAATTTTAAATGGAATTTAAATTGGATAGTAAATAGCACAATTTTTTATGTTGTTGCATCGAAAACTTGCTAGATTTAGAACCTATATATGGGTGAGTCAGTAGAAATGGGACAAATTTATCTAATAAATTTGCCCCATTTCTACTGACACACCCCCATATGTCGATTTTAAACACGCTTAAGTTTAAAAAAAGTTTTAAATTTATTCAATTCGTTAAAGTAATGACTTGAATCGGTTAATCGACCCGGACCGAATAAATTTCGGTTGACCGGTTGAGAAAATTCTTAATTGGTTGACCCGGTACAACCGGCTGAGAATTGGTAATCGGTTGGAGGGAATGATATAATATGAAAATGACGTAAGGCCGTTCAAAGTTGATTGGTTGGTTAACGACACTCCCTCCTCTTGGTTAACTGATCCCCCGAAATTAAACAAGCCAATCACAACACAGCAAAGACTTCATTAATCATATGATCAAAGTTGACCAATGAAATTTTTCTGGGCATATATGTGTTTGTTTACCCCCCCCCTCTCGCGCCTGAACCCAAAATATTGGCGTTAACCAACTAATTAACTTTGAGCGGCCTAAGGAGAGAGCAAAGGAGCCGAAAAAATCCGGAAAGAAAATGAATGAACATCAAAGACGTGCAAGGTTGAAACAAAAATTTGAGCAAGACTCGAGAGTTCTGAAGGTACAGTACGTAGTAGACATATTATTCTTAACCGGCTGGCAACTGGTTAAATGAAATAATTCGGTTCGGTTAACCGGTTAAGGAAATTTCTCAGTTCAAATTAGTTTTTCGGGCGAAATTATTTTCCAAATCCGAAATATTTCGCCCAGAAGAATTTTAATTTCGCCCTATAAGTCTGAAACC